GGGGGTCGGGTCCTGCTGCCGGGAGCTGCGACCATCCCCGCACATCCAACCGCACCGAGCCCTCCCACCCGAGGACAGGAGAAACAATGAAAACAGCCTTTCAGCACCTCGCACAGCAGCAGCTACAGCGGCTGCGCGCGCCCCAGCGCTGTGCTTGGCTTTCCGGCGCTGCCGCGGGAGGCAGCGGGTCGGGTCACTGGAAATCCTGCTGGATGTTCTCCTTGTTTGCTTCCCCGTGCTGCTGTTTGATTTGTGAAATTTCATTTTCCAGCTGCACTATTGTTCGTTCAATCTCGTAATTTTTACTGACAAGAGAGACCCATCTAGAAGGCAAGAGAGAGAAAAAAGCCTTGAAGTGTTATTTAACACTCCCCTGTTTTAAAATCAAAGCCAACTATTGCTCCAAAGCCCAAAGACACCCATCAAAGCACTATTATTCTCAATACATGATAAACCTCAGTTGATAATAATGGTAATGTGAACAACCAAAGTGATACAAAATAATTTTTAACCTTGTTAAACCTTAATATACAAAATTTAATGTACTAGACTCAAATCCACTAACTTCCAATATTTAAAGATTTTAAGAAACAATTTGGAGAGGCAATTCCAAGCAGCTAAATTGCCCTCCTCCTCAAACTTGTTGCTCACTCAACCACAGTAACTATTAGGCAGAACCAAATAACAAACCCTTTCAAAGCACTTCGTGCTCAGTGACAGCACTCGCACTGCAATGTCCTACAACAGCACTGCAGGGTCACCCCCACCCTCACTTGAACTTCTTCCAGGCAAAGATGTGACTGTAGCAGATTTAAGAGAAAAACTGCAGCTACTCACGTAGATTCCATTTCTCGCAGCTTAGCCCCAGCTGTGAGCTGCATGTTCTTCCGCTGCCAGTTCAGATCTTGAATGCTTTTCCTGGGGACAAAAAGATCTCTGTTTCTATCTCCCGTATTTAAAATTTGTAGTATCTGCTAATTTAAAAACATATCCAACTCCTAGAGGTACTACCAGGAAATGTTTGTGTAGCCGGGATGGCAACTGCAAAATATGAATGGACAAATCCCAGTAGAGGGCTGCACACAGAACCCTGAGATAAATTTTAGAATGTATTTTTTAAAGAAACAAACAAACAAAAAAAACCATAAGAAAACAACAACAAAAAACCTTCCACTATACTACAAGCAAATCTTCAAACATTTAAGCCCACTGCTGATGTACAAGTACAGAACAAAGAAAGTATTTCTTTCTCTCTAAAAAAAAAACAGATGAACAGCTAATCATTCACAATACTTGGCAATTGGGTGAAGAAACTGGGAAGTGTAGAATGCTTAAAATACTTTGATCTCTAAACAAAGCAAACAATGAGTTTGAGTGGAAAAGGCATTTTTACTGAAACCACATGAGGAGGGTCACATTTCTTCATTATTATTACTGGGTCTTTTTCTCCATGGCATCAGCATTTATACAAGCTTTGTATGGGGCAAAAGGTGTCACTTTCCTTCCAACTTGAGTAGGAAAATATGAAAAAGAACGACTCACCTCAACTTCTGAAGCTCCTTCTGGGCTTGCTCAATCATATGAACTAGATGTCTAATAGCAAAATGCAAGTACAATGTTAGGAAAACACAGAATTGCCAGATGAGACCCATTTAACTCTCCAGAGCTGAGGACACAACAAACCCCTTGAACACAAACTATGAGACAACTTGGTCTCAGGGCAGCCCATGCTCCTCACTCCTGATGGGAATGACCCAGTAACAAAACACTCCCACTGCAACACTGCCAGTTTTAAGACATAAGCATCCAATAATCACTGCAGTCAGCCCTTGCCCCTCTGACACCAATCACATCAGCATCATCAATCACACCCGCTAGCTGATCAAGTTAAATCTTTAAGCTTGTTGGCGTGCACTTGTGCTAGTCTGACTAGAATGCTGTTTAACACATCCCTACCCTATCACCCATCTTCTAATTCTAAAATTACCTATAACTAATTTTTATTATCATTTCCCTCATTTGACGTTGTCTGAGCAGAGTTTTTGCTTCCTGACACACGTGCAAACTAACAGAGCCTCTAGGTGCTCCTCTTCTCCTAAACTGAGCAACACGAGAAACACACAGAAGCTGAACTCGGCCCCCAGCTCGGTTCAGCTGAGCAGACCGAGCCCTTACTCGTTGTACACCTTCCAGGCGTTACAGCCGTGCTGCGACATCAGCTCCAGGTTCTCGATGCGGACGGCCTGGTGCTCCAGCTGCGCCATGGAGTTGTTCACACACTCCTGCCACGCCGTGATGTCGTTCTTCTGCCCGGAGGACGGGGCCGGCAGCTCGTACCTGCAACACGCC